CGCCGAGTCGCCCCCTGTGACTCGCCGAGTCCTATCAGATCTCAAGCCATATTGACTCTTTTGAGCCATGCAATGCTTCCAAACTACATATCTAGGCTCCTGAGGCATGTTTTCCACGTAAAGTTGCAAACTTTACGTGCATGCAAGGCTTTAAGGCCCTAAAATAGCAAATCTAAGCTTGGAATGAAGTCATACACTTGAGTGGGGGCACATGCTAAGCTCAACTAATAACTTTATGCATCTTGAGGTCAAAAGGAATCCAGATCTGAAGTTACAACTTCAGATCTTGGCTTAAACACAAAAGCCCTTTCTTAGAATCCATGCACAAGAGGGTTTTGGGTGGGAATGAGCCAAGGAACAGCTTAATACCTTCAGAAAGTGCTCCACAGAGGTAGATCTTGAATCCCCACGAGCCTTTTGCTTCCTCTAACTTGTTCCCTCAGGTGCCTCCTTCACTAAATCCTTCCTTCATGCTTAAAATCAACAAGAAACACACTCACACTCGAATCAGGGTTTTTGGGAGGTAAAGAGTTGTAAAGGGGAGGCTAATGACCCTTTAAATAGGGTGCAAGGCCCCGAAATCTGGGGTTTCATCTTCCAGCATCTACTCGTCGAGTACCATAATAGACTCGGCGAGTAGATCATTAAACTTCGCGGACAAACCCGCTACTACTCGAAGAGTAGGGAGGCCAACTCGCTGAGTAGGTTCTCAAAAACTAAACCAAAATATCATTATTAATACCTGAGGATCAGGGTGTTACACGTATTCATGCGATGATACTCTAACCCCTTACTATGAATTACGAGTTCAGGAGAAGTTGTAACTACGTATTCATGCGATGATACTCTAACCCCTTACTATGAATTACGAGTTCATGAGATGTTGTAACTACGTATTCATGCGATGATACTCTAATCCCTTACTATGAATTACGATAGGCTAGGGCGATTTATATGTTGGGTTAGGCCCATAGATCAGGAAGGGCTAGGACCATTCTATGTTATGTAGGTGCTAATTGTTTTTGTGACTTTTGCATTTGTATGATCGGACTGGACCTATTGGTTTGGCAGGGCTAGGCCCATTTTGGTGGGCTGGGCCCATTATGCGGAATGGGCCCAATGTGAGGGCTATGCCTAATGGTATGTATGGTATGTGGTATTTTGGGGAACTCACTAAGTTTTGTGCTTACGTTTTTTATGGTTATGGTTTAAGGTACTTCCGGTTCGAAAGTGAAGGGTCCGGCTTGATCGCAATGCATCCATCCATGTTTACGCATTGTGATGATTTTGAGATTGTACTATGATTACTGTTTTATTATGAGATACTTTTAAATGTTTAAATAAAAGATAATTGGTGTTTTGATTGTATTACAAATAAATTTTTTACCTCATAATTTTTAGGACGTTACAAGTAGTCAATATATTAATTTAGCTTGATCGTTCTTGTTCTTCATGTTATTGAAGTAATGTTCAAAATACTCTTAATTGTTAAATTTGGAGTTTAATGTTTCAATGGGTCGATGTAGTTTTATTTTAGATAAATATTATCTTTTTATAAATTTATATGCATAATTTTGTAAGCAAACCATTAAATTCGACAATTTGTTCATTAAGATAGACGTATTTCTCTTCCCCAATTGGATTGTGTATGAATGTATTTGAATGTTCTTTTTATTTTCATTAAAAAATTATGACGGGTTGGCTGGGCATGATTGTAATAAACCAAGGTTCTTCCCTTTATTTATTTTTATATGTTTATTGTAAAATTTAAAATACAAAGTAAATACGACATATGAAACTCTAAAGATGGACCGAACTAGAGATAGACTGGTAGTCCAAAAGGTTGAGGCGGCCTCGGGTCAACAACCATGGCTTGCCTAATCCCTTGTTGCCACCAATCCAAGTCACTGACATCCTACCATGAAAGGTAGCCCAAGCCTCATCTTGGCCCACCAACAACCAACTCTATTAGGCAGAGCAGCCTAACAATACATATTGTGGTGGTGGTCAATGGAATGCGATTATGCAAAAGATTTTCCTATTGTACTCCAAGTCCTATAAAATCTGTTGAAGTCCTAGGATGTTGCTATCAACACTGCCCTCTAAACGGTTAGGGGGACTATCTGTAACATCTACAAATTCAGGACCATTTTTTTTCATTTTTAGTATAACTAAAACACATTTGTAAGTTGGTCCACACATTGAAAAGTAGTTCAAATAATATATTTATCAGAGTTCATTCCAAGAAATTACATATTGCGGAAAACATAGGTGTATGCGTTGCGATCGTCCCGAGCTCCTTTTTTGAAAACTAGAGGTACCTAAAACCAAAACTGAAAACTGTAAACACGGAGCTTAGTGAGTTCACCAAATACCATATACCATACAATAAACATACTGCTTAGCATATCCGAGTGCTAGCCTACCCCTTCGGTCTCTTTCAACCGGATACTACCATACATAACCGTGAGCCATACATATCATTCATATATAATAAGCAAATAAGATGCTATGTGTCAATACGTAGTCTTGCCATTATGCCATGGGCCGCCACATGGTCTTTCTTGCCAAGTCGGGGCCACCCCTAGGTCTTACAGACAAGTGCTAAGAGCTACCCCTTGGTCTTCCATGCAATCATCACAAAGACAACTAGCATACATACTACTCTACTTAGCTAATTAACATACAGTGTGCCAGGAGCCACCTCCTATTCTTTCATACATAATGCCTAGGGCTAACCCCTGGGTCTTCCTACCATACATACAGTATGTCATGAGTCGCCTCTTGGTCTTTCATACATAATGCTTAGGGCTAACCCTCGGGTCTTCCTACAATACATGAATCAAATGGGTCAGCATTGGTGCCTTCGACCCATACAAACAGTGAGGAGTCTCACCTCACACTGCTGAAGTCCCGCAAATAAAACTCTAGCTGCTCGCTGGCAAATCCTCGAACTGTCAATATCAAAACAACACCTAATTAATAATTGGGTTCCAATGCATAACCATAAGTACACACTTAGGGTAAAAGTACCATTTAACCCTAACCAACTTGGTCCAAATCCAAGGCCCAAACTCACATTCTGAAGGCCCAAAAGTCGAATAATAAACCAAGGCCCAACATATGGCCTAATTTTCCAAATTGGGCCCAAACCTCTACATGACCTTACCTTAAGGTCCAACCATTTATTCTAGTCCAAAGACTTGGTATTCTGATGGTCTAATATCTAATAATCATCAATGCACAATTATGGCTCACCTATGGCCTAATTTTCCAAATTAGGCCCAAGCCTTTCCAATAGGCCTTATCCTAAAGCCTAATAATTTCCTTAGTCCATAAACCTGTTCCCAATTGGCCCATAACAACTTAGTCCAATAAATAGCCCAACAAAAACCCAAACCTAATTAGGGGTTTTCACATAAAATGACGATTAGAGTTAAATGTTCTTACTTAACCAATTAAGGACTTAATCCATTAAGTCCATCACTCTACTAGGCCATTCATACAATGTAATCGGACATAATTCAAAATTCCAATCTAACAGTTCAACCGCGGGTCCCGGCAAACCCCAAACGAACATTTCCAAAATTAGGGTTTTTTCTAAACCCTAATTAGGGTTTCCAACCCAATCACAAGCCAACTAAGTCCACGATGAAGCTATTGGGCCGATTAGTGTTTCACTATGTCGAGCACCACCCACTGCCACCTCGGGCGGTGGTGGTCGACGGCGGCAGCCACCACTTCACAGTGGTGGTGGTGGTTATGATTCTAGGCTAAAATAAAGACAAAAGTACCCCAAGCACCAATCCACACACACATAAACACACAACCATCGGAGATGGGGGCTAGTGGTGGCAAAACGGTGGCAGCGACCACCTCACGATGTTGGTGATGGGTTTTCCGATCAAGTAACGTGCATGCTACACCACGAATACCAACAACAACATCAATACTCGAAGATGCGCACACTCAGCCACCACCTAGGCGGCTAACGTCGCTGGAAATGGACGAAAACAGCACCCCAAGGGCCACCAGCGACTATAATGATGATTTCGGCGTCGTGTCCACAGAAAAGAACGAGAGAGAGAGAGAGAGAGAGAGAGAGAGAGAGAAAAGGTGGGTTGTGGTTTACCTTACTGATGGCTTCCTAGTCGCTCTCAACCCACACACGACGAACCTAGCTTCGCACTCCCATCTCGGTGGCTCTTCCAGCTGCCCATGATGTCCAACAACAACGTTGTGGTGGCGCTTATCGACGAGGCAGCAGGCGGCAGACGAACACGACACTGTGGCGGCGATTGAGAGGGCTCACATGGTGGTGGCAGATGTAGATGTAATTAGGGCTAGGGTTCGCATCTTCCAAACAAGAGGGAAAAGAGATACAGGGTTAATCCCGTGTCTCATTTCAAACCTTTGTCCATTTTTCCAAAATCAATCCCTCCTCACAAGTTCTTTTTCAACTTAACCCTAATAGTTACCAAACAACCCCCAACTTCTAAAATTTATTACAACTTGAGTCCAAATATTTCCATTTAACCCTCAATAATAAAAATGTAGCTTTTAACACCCCAATTGTATACACCCAGTTAATTAGTACAACTTAAGGCTAAATGCAATATATAAAAATGCATTTCGGGGTTCTAAGGATTATTATTATTATTATATTTTAAAACGGAATGTTACACCACCGTAAGTGGCTCAACCCCTTGACCACAAATTCCATCGTCTTTGATACAAAACTCGCCTTATATAATAATTCTATTCATATACACATATGCATTCTTTATTACTTTATTTGTATTATATTCACAGTTTACAATATATTTGACGCTCATATTAAATATTTCAGTGTTTTGAATAGGAAATAAAAATATAAAGTATGCAACATTAAATCTATTTACATAAAATAGCAAGCATGCGACACTTAACAAAAGTGAGGTTGATTTTTTTAAATATATATTTATAAAATGTGGCTGTTAATTTATTGTCGTGAGTGAAACGATGAAGAGAAAAGTTAAGAGTTTTATATATGTACGAATGGTCTAAAAATTACGTGGACGTTCTGCGGTGGTCTAGAACTTGAAGGTGGGTTGTATTACAGGCATGGTCTCATACTGTTCAAAAGCCATGGAAACGAAAGTTGAAAAAACCCAATAATATCCAAAGAATATTCCCCGTAATCTCTGGTTTATCGTGGATAATACCTTTAAATTCATCCTCCCTAACTCTTCCCAATCCCCCCCCTAACAATGCCTCTCAAAGCCGTTCATGTCAAAAATGTTCCTAATCTCGATCAAGTTTCAGATGATCTTAATTCTCCTACATTCAACACTTACCCTCATCTCGTTCGGCCGGCGGAGGACTTCATGGTGATCGGACATAGGGGAACCGGAATGAATTTATTGCAATCATCCGACCCCAGAATGAAATCCATCAAAGAAAATTCGATTCTCGCATTTAATGCCGCCGGAAAATTCAATCTGGATTTCATCGAATTCGATGTTCAGGTAGTTTTTTTTGTTTCGTTTATGTTTGATTCTATCTAGGATTGCTTAAGTTTCCTTTACGTTTCTGATTATTGGAGACGTCTAAAATGGGATTGACGGTGATTGTTTGCCGGTGGCCGCGGCGATTCCCGATAAAAACATGTACGACAACGGCCCCAATTTGCCGCTAAAACGACGTCTTTTTTGTACTATCGGTTACATATTATAAACCACGTGTTGGAAAGACTGACACAACATGTTGTATCATAGCCCACGAAGTATGACTAGTTGAATTATTTTTTCAAAGTCGCTTTCGTGTCTTCATTTGATGTAGACATTAGTTGGAGTTTCTCGATTTCTTCATTCAGATTCAAGGAAAACAAATATTTTTTTAAACCCAAATTCGTCACACCTCAAAACCCTTTTTAAACAGTAAAAATATTTAATGGTTTTGTCCAAAAGAATAAGAAATTATTATTAATTAGTGATTACGTGTTTTGGAATTGTTTAACTCATTCAAGAGACTGATTTGTTTATTTGTTTGGTGTTTCTTTGAACATTTCTTGATCTAAGTTTGGGTGATGGAAGAAACTTAGACAAAAAACGTAAACGAAAACCCTCTTTTTGTAGGTGACCAAAGATGATTATCCAATCATTTTCCATGACAACTTCATCTTCACCGAAGACAAGGTAAGTTTAAAACATCTCCCTCTCTCTCTCTCTCTCTCTCTCTCTCTCTCTCTCTCTCTCTCTCTCTCTCTCTCTCAACTATTCATTCCTTGGAGATTCAATCTGATGAAAGTTTATGGCTGCAAAACAAGATGGTTAGTTATTGTGTTTTGATTTCAGGGTGTTATAATTGAGAAAAGAGTGACAGATTTGAATTTGGATGAATTCCTTTCGTATGGACCTCAAAGGGAGCCTAATAAAGTAATGACTTCCCAATTCCCATACATCTCCCTTTTTTATTTTCCATATTTGAAGTTATTTCATTATTTTAATTGGTGTAATCTTGATGATATCAGGTGGGTAAACCTTTGTTTAGGAAAACAAAAGATGGGAGGATTTTCGAGTGGAAAGTTGAGAACGATGATCATCTATGCACATTGGAAGAGGTATTTCAGAAAGTAAATCATTCAATGGGATTCAATATTGAGTTCAAGTTTGATGATAATGTTGTGTACAAAGAAGATGATTTGGTTCATGCCATAGAAGTTGTTCTTCGTGTATGCCCTTCTCCTTTCGCGTTTCTTTAACAATTTCCATGTCATTAAACGCGATACCATTTGATAGATTAATTTGATTTCTATTTTTGGCAGGTCGTATTCAAGTACGCTAAAGAAAGATCCATATTTTTTTCAAGCTTTCAGCCTGATGCCACTCTTTTGATCCGAAAACTTCAAAACACCTATCCTGTAAGTCTCATTTTATATCATTTTACAAACAATATGCGTCACAGGATAAGACAGGACAAATCTGAACAAGTTGTACTGCGTTTAACATAATGGAACAAAAACTGTAATGTTTTTTCCGGTAAAGCAAGGTGACATACATGATACATCTCTCATTTGTGGAAAATATGTAAATGCCCCTAGCTATATATCCCGATTATTGAAAACAACCCTAAAAAATTTGCTTGATCCGACAATCAATAATATTAGTGTTCGTGTGTAACAAACAAAAAAGTTTTCATCATTTTTGTGATTCTCTCGTTTTTGGAAAAGACATGAATGCCCCTTCTTATAACATTATTGAAAATAACCCTAGCCACTAAAATGTTGGTTTAATTATGAGTAGTCCTTTCCATGTAACAATAAAAAGTTTCCATCTTTTTGTGTTTGATTGTTGCATTTTTTTTTTTAATGAATGTGTGATTAGGTTTTCTTTCTCACAAATGGAGGGTCCGAAACATATACGGACACCCGGAGGAATTCTTTAGATGAAGCAATGAACTTGTGCTTAGCTGGCGGCTTAAACGGAATTGTGTCTGAAGTAAGAGCGATTCTAAGAAATCCAGGAGTAATTAGAAGAATTAAAGACTCTAATCTCTCACTCATAAGCTATGGCCAGTTAAAGTAAGATCCATTTTCTTGAAAACAAGAACAAATTTCAAGATCTTTTGCTTTCATTATTGTATTTTGCTTGTTTACACTAAATGTATATATACTTTCTGGACAATTCAGTAACATGCGAGAGGTGGTCTACCCACAACTTTTAATGGGCGTTGATGGGGTGATTGTGGATTTGGTTGAAGAGATCACAGAAGCAGTTGCAGATTTTGGTGAAACAATTGAAAAAGAGAAAGTAGGTGAAGAGGAAGAGGAAGAAGGTGATGAGATCAAGTGTTCACAGTGTCAACTTTCGAATCTTATGAAGGTCATACCAGGTTTAGTGCAACCCTAATTTGATTGTAGTTAATGGCAAATACTTTAGGAAATGACTCCCGTAAGATTGTGTACATTATCATATGTCTGTAACCTTCATGCGTGTTTTGTGTTTTGTGTATATTGTTAATCAAGGTAATATAGGAAAAGGGGCCTGCACTTTAGGTTGTATGGGGGGCATCCAATTGAAAGATGGTTGTAGCTAAGGTTGTGTAAATGGAGGGTTTTCATTTGTGTTGTTTGACATCTTTTTTTTTTTTTCTTTTTTTTTTTTTTTGAATTCTAAAAGTTGATTTGAAACACTTTTTGTCCTTATTTTTGGTTTTTATAAATAATTAAGATGTTAAATATGAAGGGAAAACTATATTTAACATAATAATCTAATTTTCTTATAAGTTTATTATCAGACGATCGAATGCATCTATAAGTTATGTATTTACTTGTAGAGATATGTATTATTATGGATAGGCAAGACTCATGCATTATAATCTTCTAGTTCTATGGAATAAGAAATCGAAGGATTCCATTATCGTTTATAGTTTATAGAGTAAACTACATGTTTGGTCCCAGATGTTTATTCAATGTAACACTTTTAGTCCAAAGTTGATGATTATTGCAAATTAGTCCTTATTTCAAACTTAATTTATAGGTTTGTTCCCTCTCACTAACTCCCATTTGTTTCTTATTGTCAAGAACCCTCATGTGCCATGCACATGAGGCTAGTTTCCTCTTTTCACACAATGATATGTTTTTCTATTCGATTACTTTTTTTTTTCAATTCAATAACAAAAATGGAGCTCGAACCCATTAAACCTTACTCGAGTATTGATCGTCTGACTCAGATATATAGTTTTAGCACAATGTGGATTAGAAGAAGTAAATGGTTTCATGTTGACGTCAAGCTTATATATGGTCTTTAAGCTTTTCCGTTTGTCCCGAAAATAGTTCCTAAGAAACCTTTTTTTTACATGAATGACCCCTACGGAGCATACATTGTACACAAATGATTATTATTGTGGATATTCGTTAGATGGATCCGTTAAGTTGAAAATTTTTTGGATAATAAACATTTTTGCCATTTTGTGAAACTTGTTTAAGAACCATTTGTGAAATTTTACGAATGACCTTTTGTGAAATTTTATAAATCTATTAAATAATTTATTAATTTCCATAAATCAAATAAAAAGACAAAAAAAACATAGAAAACATAATATTTATATAAATAAAAAAAATTAAAACTTATAAATTGTGATCGTCATGCAAATATATTTTATTTAATATACAAATAATTTTTGTTATCTACACTTTATCTAAAATATTCAAACTATAACACATCAATAAATATATTTTTTTCTAAAAAATTTGAAGTATAAAAACATCATTTTGTTACTTTTTAATTTTTATATGATATAACTTTTAAGATTCATCTTATAAAAATATATTTATTTTTATGAAAAAATACAATATGCTATTATAAAAAAATATGTTATTAAAGAAATAATAGTTTGCTACTATTTTATTTTGAGAATATAAGTATACGTTTTAAAATTAAAGATAAAAATACATTTCGGTTTTGGTTTTGGTTTAATAATATAAATAAGGTAAATTTATATTGGATCGATATAAACTTTTTGATATTTAATTTTAAAAAAAATATATTTTATATTATCAAATGGTAAAATAATTAACCATACGAATAATATGACATTAAGTCCGTAATTAATTTTATCTAATACAAAATAAAATTTTAAATTGAATTAATGTCATATAATTTCCTTTTAATTCCGTTCAATATTACATTAATTTCATTTAATTCATTTTATTAAAATATATAAAATATTTTTATTTTCTATTAAATAATATGAATTAAATAGATATAATGTTATATTATTCATATGCTTAATTATCTTAACATTTGTAGCAGTATAGTTAATTATTAGCTAACTGATATTTTTCAAGGTTCTAAATGGCGTGAGGCGCGGCGTGGCGGCAAGGTTAAGCCTCAAGCTTAACGAGCCATGGCGAGCCATGTCGTTTTTCAAGGCGTGATGTAAGGCGGCGATTTTGTATTAATTTAAAATTATATTACCACATAAATATAAATTTATATTAAATATAACTACTTTTTAGAAGTGTTAGATCAATAACTAGTAACAAAAATTTAACAAAAACCACAACACTTGTATCTCCGATTAGAAAAGACATAACAAAGAGCAAAAAATCATGTCTCAAACGAAAAAATACGCGCCATAACACGCCATAACGTGTCATGGCGCGCCATATCACGCCTTGCCACGCGTCACGTCTTACAGCAACGTTATAAGACTTTTCGTAACGGCGGAGTCACGCCTCACGCCATGGTACGCCTTTTAGAACACTGATATTTTTTTTTTTTTTTTTTTGAAAAGTTTATGTCTTATTAAGGAATATATTTAAAATTCGATAAAACTAAATACTTTCTTAAAATTAAGTGTCAAAATTTTATATCAAACAAATATAAAATGTACCGTACTTAATATTATGAAATCAAAACCGAAACATAATTTTATCTTTAACTCAAAATCGTATACTTATATTTATAAAATAAAATAGCATACTATTACTTCTATAATGTAACACCTAGTTTCAGGATGTTTCTAATTTCGGGATAAAAAGTCATAATTTGATCGAGTAAAGGTTTTGAGTTTCAAAAGAATGGAGTTTAGACCCTATTAGATGTTGATAATGTTTATCAAGCAACTTAAGCCCTCAAATTATGCATTGGAGCCATAAGGTAAAATGGGAAAAGTGATATTCAAGCGTCTAGCATAAATTAATGGATTTAGTTTGACATGTATTAAGTTAAAAGTAAGTGGATATAATTTTGGGGCTTGTTAATATCTTTGTGTGCATATAAAGATCACTAAAAACAGAGTTAGAAAAAAGAAGTTATGATCGTTTAAAGTTGAAGCTGAAAACTAGAATTTCTCGGAAAGCGCGAAGCGCCCTTTGAAAGCGTGGGGCACCCTGGCTTTGTGTATTACACATTTTTTTAGATTTTTAGGGAATTTAAAGGCCATTAACCATAAGGGGTCGTCATTTCCAGTCTCCGCGTCCTCTATAACACCTTTAATGAAACCCTAGCCTCCATTGAAGTGCTTTCTTTTGGTGTTATTGTGCTTTAGAAGGAACAAGAACAATACATATTGTTCTTTAAAGTTATGCATTTGATGTATTCAACCTCCATTTACCTTCTATACCTTTATAACTCTTAAAGTTCCAAACTTTATTGTGTTTTATGTTCAAACCTATGAATATATGGAGTTTTAGTCCATTTTAATGAGTTTTAGTCCATTGGTGGTTTGTTCCATAGAGTTTGTAAAGCTATTGAGCTTTTGATTGATGTTTGAGATGATATATGGTCATTTAGTGGTGTAAAGAGTGCATGCAAGAGCTTTCTTTACTCCAAGCATAAAGAAAAATACGTTTCGGCTATTTCTCATCTTAGAGTTTTAAATCTTGGAATTTTGTGGCCTTATAATGGATAAAGTTGGAAACTTTATCCATTCAGATCTGAATATTGAAGACTTAGACTTATTGGATTAGGCTTAGAAAGATGCATTATTGGTCCCTTTGAGACTTAAAATCTAGATCTTGGTTGTTTGGACCATCCTAATGGATAAAGTTCAAATCATTATTCATTATGAAGATATCAGGTACCAAATATGATGTTATGAGCCTTGGTCTTTAAGGATTAAGCTCTTAATGAAGAAAAAAGCATTCTGCCAGGGACCATGATGTGGCCAAGGAAGGCAGATGACATGGTGGTGCTTTGCCTCTCGACTGTTTTGTCCTGACTTAGCAATGACGTGACCAAGAGTTCACCACAACGTAGTCGTCTGTTGAGTTGAATCTGACCGTTGACTTTTGGTCAAAATTTGGTAGAATTGAGTAGTTTACGTAGGAATAGTTTTGGTTTGGCTTTAGGTAGCTTAGGTAGCTGTTTCTGTTTTTGAGATTGCTCTGGAGCTTCTTCTGTTATGTCAAGTGAGTTTTCTCACTATACTTTTCACTGCATTATGTATCATATGTATGTTAGGATGTTGATATCTTATAGTAATTTGTTAGACTGTTAGATTTGAAATGATTACATGTGTTTGCTTGTTTTTGTATTTTCATATCTTGACGTATTATGGTTGGGTTGAGGTGGTCTTGCTCTGTTTTGTAGGCCAAGATACCAAGGAGGTCAGTTGATACTGTAGGCCTAATGAAAGCAGTCCAACTAGATGTTGTAGGCTTGGAAGAATGGTCTACTAAGATGTTGTAGGCATAGGAGAACAGTCTAGCTATATGATGTAGGCTTAGGTAACAGTCCAACCCTATGTTGTAGGCCTGGTTTGCATGCATTGTATATTATTGTGTGGGGTATTTTAGGAACTTACTAAACTTTTGCTTACAGTTGTGGAATAAATTCTTTTCAGTTACTTTAACAGTTCATAGGGAGGCGAATGTATGACTGTACACATCCATCAACAGTTTAATGATTTGAGATTTCATGATACTTTTCTTTATAACTCTGATTTTGGAACTATAATTTATAAACAAGTGATTTTATCTTGAATATGTATTATGAAAATATGAGTTTATTCTAGTTTTAAAATGAAAATTTTATTATGAAAATTGGGACGTTACATTTAATAACATATTTTTTTTATAATAACACATCATATTTTTCATAAAAATAAATATATTTATATAAGATAAATCTTAAAAATTACATCATGTAAAAATTGAAAAGTAATAAAATGATTTCTTTATATTTCAATTTTTTTTTTAAATAAAAAATAAAAAAATGAAATATTTAATGAAGTATTGTAGTTTGAAGATTATAGATAATGTCTAGACAACAAAAATTATTTATATATTGGATAAAATATATTCGGATGATGATTAAAATGTATACGTTTTAATTATTATTTATATAAGTATTATATTTTCTATGTTTTTTTTTTTTTTGATTTATAGTAATTAATACAAGATCTAATAGAGTTTTTTTTTAATTTCACAAATAGTTCTTGTGTAAAATTTCACAAATGGTCCTTAGGTTAGTTTCAAAAAATGGCAAAAATGGTTTGTATCCAAAATTCTTTCAACTTAATGGATTCATCTAACGGACATCCACGGTAAGGACCATTTGTGTGCAAGGTTTGTTCCATAGGGACCAACC